TTTTTTTTTTAAAGATTATAAAATTGGTTTATTGTAAAAGCAATTCAAGAATAACCAGTTAAAACCTTATCCCCATACTACCCAATACAACCAAAAAGCATTAAACACTTTTACATTAGGAACAAGAACATAAAACAAGAAAGACCACATCAAAGCTATGATTCAAACTCAAAAAGAGAAAGAACTCTTAAATCTCTTCCAGGTCACTACAACGGTATGATAAGATCAAAGCACTATGTCAGGTACACAGCACTGCTACAACACTGAGGTATAACTGGGCAAATTAAATCTGGGAGGACCCGAAGACTATGTATTTTTGCTTTGTGGGTGTTCTTAAGTGATTGAAATTTTAGGAACAACTGCCTTTAATGATAGCAAGATGCAAAATAAGTCTTTATTGAAGAGAAAGTTTATAAAGTTTTCTATCAAGGTCCCAGTACTCTTCACAACCCACTCCCACCTTCCCACCCTCCCCCTAAGCTAAAGCTACTCTGCTGATATATAAGATATGATTTTAATTTGTGACTTACTGGCAAATTATAGGCACTAAGTAGCTCTGATCTGCACATTAAAAACAACATGCTATCTCATCCAAATGCTCAATTATGCATTCTAGGTAGAATTTCATTATTGTTCTAAAACTCAATGCATTTGCACACTGGCCATCCCCACCCCAACTTGATTCAACACTGAATCTTTCTGCTGTTTTTAAGATAAAAGCCGAGTCAAATTATTATGAACAACAACCCATGAATCATTATATATAATACAGTGATTGCATTTTTCTTGAGCACTGAAAAGTACTTAAAATAAAACTTCTTACTTCCACTTTTGCACTCCTCCAAATTGAAGGGTCAAAATACTTGGATTTTGTAATTCGAAAAAGGAAAAAAAAAAAAAAATCTACCTTCCGGAGCTGAAGCTTTTTCATAGTAGCTGAACCCAGGAAAACAGATTCTGTCTGTTATAAACCCTTGAAAATAAGGGCTTATGCTAGAAGCACTGAAAGACCCTTAAATCACAGAGATACTAGCTGGTACCACTCTAATTCATAACCACTACTTTATAGCTTATATATTGAAGAGTAAATTCATGCTCACTTTGTTCATTAAAAAATAGTCTTTGGAAACCATTATTACTCCTGTAGACACATACTCTAGTTATATCTCTTCCTGTAAAAATAAAGGTATAATCATGATTATCTCTACTACTTTGCTAAATTCAACAACCAATATACATTTATTAATCTGATCACTTTACCAGCTAACTCATGACCTTATATTAGTCTACATACTACCTAGAGGTTTAATTTTCAGCATGTGAAAGTAGGAGCAAGTTTTGTTAAGAACAATCCTGTAGGGAATGAGGATGTAGCTCAAGCACTTGCCTAGCACAAGCAAGGCCTCAGATTCAAGCCCCAGCACTTGGGGTGGGGTGGGTGGAGGTGTGGCTTCGGGAGGGTTGTCTACTCTGTTTACAAGAACAATTTTATAGAAAATATTTTAATCTAGTCTTCAATGTACTCATTATAAATGAGAACTGAAGTACCAGAGTTTACTTCCAAAACTAAGGCGAGTGTAAATTTCCAAAGCTGAAGGAAGGTGAGTTGCTGTAAAGCTCACTTCTGTCACGTACATCATAAACCTACTCAGTGATTTCTAAGACTCAAACTTGTACAAGGGAGAAAATAAAACCATTTCTAGTCTGCTCCTTTCCAATTCATCAGGTATTTATCATGTGCCCAGAGAGCAAAGAGTATTCCTTTAGGCACTATCCTTAGTAATAGCCCTTTTAGAAGACAAAACTATCTCAAACATCTGCAGATTGTCCCAACCAGATTAAAACTGCTTGTGAGATATGCACTACTAGTCATGTATTATAAATGTATACATTCAAAGCTACCGTTTTAAAAATAAATTGGAAAGTAGGGAAACTTAAAAAAAAAAAAGTACATTCTGCTATCACTTTATTATAAACACTGTGTATATGTGTGTATGTGTGTGTGTGTGTTTAGAGAGCAGATAATCAAGATTTAAATAAGATGGCAAAAAACTCAGGAAATGTAAATTTTATCAAAAGAACTACAATAAATGTCCCAAACTACAACTATAAACAGATTAAACAGATTTACTAATAGAGTAATTTGCCTAAGTTTCAACAAAACCAACCAACCAACACAAACAAAAAAAACCAAAAAAAAAAAAAAAAACACAAACAAACAAAAAAAACCCACCAGAAAACCCAAAACATCCACAAAAATATCCACCCAAACCTATACTAGAGTATGTGGCAATAATTAATATATTTCTATGGAAATTGTCTCATGCCTTAAGCTCCTAAAATAAAATCAAGGTCACTATGTGACTAATGATAGCACTAGGAGGAAAAAACAAAACACTGAAAATAAGTCTTCAGCCTTGGTTTCAGCTACCTCTTCAAATTAGCATTAAGTACTTAATATCAGATACAACATTTTTGGCTTGTTAGACCAGTAAGACATGTTTTTCCATTGGCCAAATGCAGCTGAAGAAGCAACTGTGAACAAACTAAATGCTGTGACATGAAGCATCTGATTTCCAAGTCTGAGTCAAATATCTAACTGGGCAAAAGGAATGACATCCATCATCCAAACAGGCTCACTTCCCCCAGCCCCCCAAATAAACAGTAGTTATAATAGCAAAGAATTTTTTTGTTGTTTTGGGGTTTTGTTTTTTTTTTTTTTTTTGATTCTTTAGGGCCAACTGTGAAAGAGGTCAGCAATATATTAACAGCAGCAATGGACAAGGAAGAGCAAAATAGTGGATGAAAGAATCTTGCTGGACGTTTGTTTGTTCATATATATATATATATATATATATATATATATTTTTTTTTTTTTTTTTTGTTGTTGTTGTTTGTTTGTTTGTTTGTTATTAGCCAGAAAACTGCAGCTGGCTTATTTGGAAATTTCAGGCACACGTCTCATCTCCTTAGATCCTTCACAGATTTAGAATTCAGTCTACCTGAGGGCTTTATAGCCAGGTAAGAAAGCTTTCTTTATCTAGCTTGGTGGCAGCCAAAACAGATTCCATGTCATTAAGGATGTCAGAACTCAGAGCTTCCTGAAGACTGGGCATCAACTCCTCTCCTTCTATGTTCATTCCATCTCCTTCCAGTGTTCCAAGGTCCACATTTGTCCCAGGAATGGCTTCAAGGTAGTCTGGAAAACGGTTCTGCTGTGAGGGCAGGGTGCTTTGGTTGATAGTATCACCTGTATCCATTTCATCAACACTGTTCAGGAAGTCATCTGGGGTTCGAGGGACACTGTAGCTGCTCATGCTTAGTCCACTGTCTGTACTGTCATCTCGAGAGTGATAGGTGCCACTGTTAAGAAAGGGATCTGAGCTATTGGTCGTCATTGTTCTCAATTCCTGAGACATCCCAGGAGAAGACACCGGATTTTGAGTTCCACCATCCTGCTCCAGTGTTGGTAATTGGCTACGAAGAGCTAATTCCTGCCGAAGCAGTTCTTGCTGTTTCAATCGCAGTCTCTCTTTCTCCATCTGCAATTGTTGCAGCCTCATCTGTTGCTGCTGGTTGGAGTTGCCACTACCCATAACACCTCCTTGTGGGCTCTGGGGAGCCAAAGGTGGTGGTTGTTTCACTGGAGCACTCTGACTGATTCTCTGGTTCATGGCAAAACGAGGGTCAAGCCTTGGGTCTAGCCAAGAGGTGGTCTTGTTCTTATGGTTTATATAGTAAATTTCTCCATCCTGAGTCATGGCTTGCTCCCATCCATCAGGAAGAGGACCTGAGGGCGTGTTCATCAAATTCTGCTGCACCGGTGGACTGGTTGGGGCTGGAACATTCATCTGAGATAGCATGGCCTTCCTGGGGTCTTGCCATGTTGTAGTCTGATCAATGTGATTTAAGAAGTATCTCTGACCAGAAGATGTCTTGGCCATCTCCCAGCCTGCTGGCAGAGGTACATCATCAGGTATCTCAAAAGAAGACTGCCGAAGATGTTGAGCTGTAGGTGTAGCTGCTGGGCCAGAGACTACTCCAGTGGGGGTCAGTGTCCCAGGAGAAACTGCTCCTAGCTGCAGGGAAGCTGGAGAGGAATGAGCTCAAACATGCTGTGGAGTCAGGGCTCCTGCAGTGCCTGCATCAGTACTGGCCTGTCGGGAGTGAGATTTGGGCTCCGGCGGCTTGAAGAAGGAGTCAGGCAGTTTCCGGAGCCTCATGGGCACGGTCTGGGGCACGTTGGCCGTCTTGGGGTTCATGACGGCGTTGAAAAGTGCCTCCAGGTCGGTCTCCGAGTCCCCCCGGACGTGTACGATCTGGTGCCCGGCTGGGGGGGCCTGCTGCGCCGCCTGGGAGGGCCTGCTGAGCCGCCTGGGACGCCGGGGGTGCCGGCTGCCCAGGCCCGGAAGTCGGGCCCTGCCCCTGGGGGGGCTGTGCGGGCGGCTGCCCTTGGCCCTGGGGGGCCGGCTGGGGCTGCGGCTGCTGCCCGGGATCCATGGCTTCTGCCTCCCGCGACGCGCACCCCCTGGCCAGGCGGCGAGGGCTCGGCCCGGACGCCCCGGCTCGACGGGCCGAGACGCGAGAATCGGCGAGGGCGGCGCTGGGCGGCGGGAGCGGCGCTATCCTCGCTCTCAGGGCCGGGGGCTGCGCCGCGGCCCCGCATCCCCCGCCCCGGCGCCTCCGCCCCCGCCCTGCGCCCCGGCTCCACTGGTCTGGCCACTGGTGGCTTCTTGATCGGCGGCAGAAGTCATGATTTCCCAGAGCAGCTCGCCTCCCCGCTCGCTCCCCTCAATCCATGTTCCCCTTTCACTCCATTGTTTTCAGAGTTTGGGCAGAAGAGAAAAGCCCCCGCAGAGCCCACATTCTGTCCCGTGCCACCGCGGGGAAACCGAGCGCCGCACAAAGGATGCAGCCGGCTCCAGCTACCCTACTGCGCTCCTGGGCGGGAGTCGCTGGTAGCAGGCGGGCCAATATTTATTTTTAGTTATCCGCAGACACAACATCTTTGTTTGTATGTGGTGCTGAGGATCGAACCCAGGCCGCACGCATGCCAGGCGAGCGCGCTACCATTTGAGCCACATCCCCAGCCCATATTATATTGATATATATTTAATATGCATAAAACTACTTATTTTATGCACACAATTTAATGAGTCTGACACAGCTACCCATTTTTGTTTCTATGTGCATATAGGGATAGATATGATATTTATTTGGGAAGAGGTCTAACTGATGTTGAGAATGGTTATATTTGATTATTAAATTATGGAATACTTTTTAATTTTAAATAACTTTTGAATTTCTATTTTAACATGTGTCAATCGTAGAAAAACACTAGTTCATTCTAAAAGAAAAATATAAATCTGGGGAAAATATTTTGAATCTTTTGTACAGTTTGTATTTCTTTTGCTAAGTATTTCTTTTACTAAGCACCTTTGCTTAATTATTGATTATGACATTGCCAAAAATTTCTGATTTTTAAAGAGTATACAATAGTCTTGATGAACATGTTAACCTTGCTTTTCTGTTATAAATACAAGTTGAAATTTAAGTGATAACTAACTATGTTGTAATTATGTAAATAAATAATCAACCATCAATGAAAGTACAGAAACACATTCAACAACATTATTGACTGTTGTGGTTTAGATCTAAGAATGTCCCTGGAAAACTCATGGGTTAGACAGGGCAGTAATGTTCAGAGGTAAAAACCTCATCAAGTGGATTAATTCACTTGGAGTATTAATAATTTGAATGAATTACTGGGTAGTTAACTGTAGGCAGGTGAGGTGTGGCCAGAGGAAATAGATCATTGAGTGCATGATGATGGTCTATTAAATATTGTTCCTGGCTTCCCTCTCTCTTTCTTTCTCTCTTTCTTTTCTGACTGCCATAACCTTACAGCTTTCTGTCTCCACACTCTTTGGCCACGGTTTTCTGCCTCACCTCAGACCAGAACAATGGGTCAGCTGATTACACACTGAGGCCTCTGAAACCCTGAACCAAACTAAACTTTTCCTTCTCTGTGTTGTTCTTCTCAAATATTTTAGTCACAGCGATGAAAGGTTGAGTTAGACACTGAACTACTTAGTTGGGTAAACTATTCAATTTATAAGATGCCTATGAATATAACTATATAATTTAAGACTGCCCAAAGAAATACTCTGTCCTAAAGATATTATCACAGGTCAATGTCACCAATTCTCAAGACAAAGAAGAAGAATTTTTCCAGAAAAGAATTGGCAGGTAAAATACTACTAGTGGTTTTGTCTAAAAACAATCACCTTTTGAAAAGCATTTTCAGACTTTTTGTTTTCATAACATAGGCCCTGCAGAATTTAATGGAATCTTAGGCCAAGGCACAAACTCTTCTAAATAGACACCTTCAATTTTTACATGAAGTTAAAAAGAAATGTTTACAACAGAATTTTTAGTAGGAAAAGAAATGCTAAAAGCTATGATGTTCACCAATATGTAAACCTTATAGGGGCATGGGGTTATGGGCTGCTGTTTTAATTGCTCTGTCTCTAGTATCAGCAACAGTGAGAGTTTTGAAACTATCAAACAAATTTATCTATAAATCTATAAAATAATAAAGATTAATAAATTCTAATAGTACAGTGTTGATTTTATCTTCTCCCTTTTTGCTAACCTGTCCTTTTCCTGTAACAACTGAAGGAAGATGTAATATAGGTCAGAAGACAGGGAAAGCAAAAGAAATCTGAGAGAGACAGCTGATACCCCAAATCTTTTCTCCTTTCTACTCAGTAAAATTCCACCATTATACTACATTGGATATGTATCTTGAAAGGATAGATAAGAGAGTTCCTCAAATTAGCATGGATCAGATTTATAAATGTTAGATCAAAAGTTTAAGATTATGATTGAGAGAGAAAATTTGAAATCCACACTTGGTACCTGTTGGAGTTTAGGCAAACAAATTGAACTATATCCCAGGTTGTGCACCTTAAAATTATGGTGATCCTGTAGAGTTAAGGATTAGAGGATAAGAATTCTAGTATAATCCTGGATCTTGTCAAAACCCAACAAATGTAAGTCTGTAGTCCATTATATTCTGAAAGTTTTCACAAGGAATACAAATCTATTTAAAATATCAAGGTTTAGCACTGAAAACTTGATAAAACTAAACTGAAGACATTTTAAATATATTATTTGGTTTGAGCATTTATACTATTTAAATATTTTCCACATTCTACTTAATTTTAATGATGAAAGTAGTTTTAGTTGATTTTTTTCTTTGTTCTATTTCATTAGCTGAAAATTGCAATTCTCATTTGCCTTTTGCAATCTTATGAAAAATTTGGTTCTCAAAGTATACTTGAAAATTGGCATTGTTCTGCCTTGAAGAATATGAGCCTATTTTCTTTATTTAAATGCATTTTAAAATAGGTTTTCTAACAAATTAGATGCAAGAAATTGTATCTGGTTTTTGGCAATGACTGTCTTTTACTACCTGTGGCGATAAAAACATCTCTTCCTATGGTGATAAAAGGATATTTAACATTCTATTGTGTCAAATTATCTGTAGTTAAGTTAAATGGGAATTTGCATAGTAGGAAAAAGTAATGTTCTACAAGTTTTTAATAAACTAGATCATCACAGAAGAAACTAGTTTACTTACTAACAGATAATCTGCAAACGTAAATCTTTAACAGATGCATTAGCTCTAACTGCCTGGTGCTAAGATTTGAGATTTGAGATCCATTCTAGTTTGTTATATTATTATTATTTTATTTTTAATTTATCTTTATTTGTTCTAATTAGTTATATATGACAGTAGAATGCACTTTGAAATATCATATATAGATGGAGTATAATTTCTAATTCTGATTGTACATGGTGTAGAATTCCACCAATCATATAATTACATATGTATATAAGGTAAAAATATCTGATTCATTCTAGTATCCTTCCTACCCCATATTTCCTCCTCTCTCTTTAAACCACAAATTCAAATTCATCTGTGTAATTTAGCACTTGTATGTCAATAACAAAGTTACTGTGTTAGTTGCTACAAAAAACAACTTCTAATCAACTACAATTAACTCATATTCTTTGGGGGGGTGTTAAGATTTGGATGTGAGGTGTCCTCCAAAAGCTCATGTGTGAGACAATTCAAGAAGGTTTAGACTACAGATGATTGGGTTATGACAGCCTCAACCAATCAGTGAATCAATCTCCTGAAGGGACTACTTGTGTGGTAACTGAAGGTGGATAGGGTGTGGCTGGAGGAGATAGTTCCTTGAGGGCGTTCCTTTGGCACATATATTTTGTATCTGTGAATGGACTCTTTCTCTATTTCATGATCCTCCTGTGAGCTGCTTGCCTATGCCACAGGCTTCCACCATGATGTTCTGCCTCACCTGAAGCCCTAAAGAATGGAGCCAGCTGTCTGTGGACTGAGATCTCAGAAACTGTGAGCCCCAAATAAATATTTCCTCCTGTAAAATTGCTCTTGTTGGGGCTTTTAGTCACAGCAACAAAAAAGCTGACTAAAACGGTGTGGTGTGTGTGTGTGTGTGTGTGTGTGTGTTTTGTACTGAAGATTTTAGCCAGGGATAAATAATCACTTAACTAACCTTTTTTAAATTTTTGAGACAGGGTCTCACTAAGTTTCCCAAGCTGGTCTGGAACTTGAGATCTTCCTGCCTCAGGCTCCAAAGTCACTGAGATTATAGTTGGGCACCATCACACCTTGCTGATATTTATTTTTAATGTGAAATTATGGAACTGAATCAGTAACCTAGGAGAAGCATAAATGAGGAAATCTGAGACAACTATATGTGACAATGGCCTTAGGCCTGAGCCCAAGCAACTCCATTTTAAAAAACTCCAGTTTGAAAACTCCAGTCTCATCAGACGCACCTAACAGAGCCCTCCAGTATGGCCTCAGACAAGTTACTTCCCCTCACCTTGATAAGCAGAGTGAAGCCTCTGGCAGGCTGTCCTCTCCTGATAAGAGGGAAAGGTGAGAAGATCAGGGTGAATACCATCAGACCAGATGTTTCTGATCCCAGGGTAAATGATGTCATGAAGAAATCCAGTGGTAGCTGATAAGGATTGAAAAAAGGGTCAAAAGCCCCAAATTTAGTATAAATAATAGAGCTGATGAACAGGGATTCAGCCAGCCCAAACAAGAGTGCACTGGAGCTGAAGAGCCTGATGAGGACCTGGACTGACATCCCATCGTTGGTCATCATTTTCCTGATCCTCTGTGTGATCCTCACCACTCTCAAACTCTACCGCAGTGAGAGTGGTAGAGAGCCGCAACTTCTCCCTAGGACCCTTTCCTCAACTGGCTGACCACACCACACCAGGAAAAGCCTGCCTTGGTTCTGGACCTGATCACGTGGTCTGAGTGAGTGTGCATCTGCTGGACTTACAGCCTAAAGTTTAAGACTTTTGAACTTAATAAGCAGAGGATAATGTCTGTCATTGGCCTGTCATTATTGTGTTTTGCAGTGCTTAGAATTAATCTAGAATTATTTGCTGTGAATTGATTATGTCTATTGCAGTGCTTGGCATAAATGATTGTCATTTTCTTGATTAAGAACCTATAGAGTGAAATTATATTGAGTGATTTGAGTGAGTAAAGCTTTGGAAAGGGCAGAAGCACGTGGACATTCTTTATTTCTCTCCCTTGCCTGCATATGTCTCAATTTTGCCCCCTCATGACATTGTAATTCAAAAATTATTTATAAAGGAAATACTTTAGGATATATTATTAAAATTAATTTAAGTAATTACTTGTGTAGAGAGAAGCTTATCTAAACATAGCTTGAATACACTATAAAATCAAAGAGAAAACCAAACATAGCTCTTCAAAGAGTCTTATTCAAATGTATATTTAAATAATATGAAATAAGAAATAGTTTTTAAGTGGAAAACTTCAGATAAAGATATTGGTCAATCACTAAATATAATTTATTACCTTCTAATGCCTAAAAAGCAAGTTTATTTATTTATCTATTTTTGTTTTACTTGTTTTGTCTCAATTATACAAAATGGTGGGTTTCATTGTAGCATGTTTATATATAAAGATAAACAGTTTGATTAATTTCACCCCCAGTGCCCCATCTTCCCTCCCTTCATTCATTCACTGTACCCTAATTGTCTCCATTTTACTGTCATAGAAACTCTTTTATATCCCTGCTCCAGTCTCCATATGATACCTTCTTCTCTTGATCCAACTTTACTTTATTAAAATTTGTGGTGTCCAATTCCATGTATGTTTCAGCAAGAAATCATTTTGTTCTTTTTTTAATGGCTGAGTAAAACTCCATTTTGAATATATATCCTCTTTTCTTTATCCATTTATCTGTTTACAGACACCTTTGCTGATTTTATAATTTGGCTGTTATGAGTTTTGCTGTGATAAATAAGGGGATGCAAGTATCTCTAAAGCATGCTGTTAGTTCTTTCACTGGAGCATATAGTGGGTCTATTTTTAGATTTTTAAGGAAAGTTTGAACTGATTTCCATTGAAGTTGTAATAATTTACATTCCCACCAACAGTGTGTACTCCTTTTCCCCCCAGGCATCCTTGCTGAATTTATTGTTATTTTTATTCTTTATAATTGCTATTCTAACTCAAGGGAGATGGAATCTCAGTGTAATTTTGATTTGCATTTCCGTGAAGACTGAAGATGTAGTCATTTTTATTTCTAATTTTGAGAAGTGTCTCCTCCCTGCCCACTTATTAATTGGATTGTTTGTTAATATTGATCTTTTTCTTTAGTTCTTTATATATTCTGGAAATTAATCATCTGTCCAAAGAGAAGATAGAAAATGTGTTTTCTTTTGAATTTTTTAAAAAAAGTTTTGCTAGTTAAAGGCCTAGTGGAAAATTGTTTATCAGTGAATGGATCTAAAATCTGTAGTGAGTTGTTTGTAGATACATGTTAAATTGGTAAATTTTAATTTGATCATTTGAATAACAGATAAAAATAAGTTTTTCAACCCAACAGTAAAAAACTTGCTCAACAATATGTATAAACCCTCCATATACACAGGATAGTTCATCACTTAAAGAATTAACAAAGTTAACACACCTCAGCTTTTAAGTAAAATTCTTAGTTTAAACATTTCGGTATGTATTAAATAGTTCACTACAGACTTTAGATGTACTCCCTGATAAAACAGCTTTTTATAAGAAATCTTTAATCTGCACAGTAAGAAACACCTTTAAGTAAGTGCATTTAAAACTAATTCATATATTATACATAGCAGTTTATGAAATAATTTAAATCACTGAACCGAAACAGGTAATAGTCCATCTTCTTGGTTGCATCTTTTCCATGTGTCTCCAAATACTCACCTTGAACATTAGTGTCACACATTGAAATAATGGATCAAAATAATTCTTTCAAAATCACTCTTTAAAGAAATATGTCTTTTGAATTATTTATTGGTTTCTTTGCCTAAGTTTTAGCTGACAATATATTTGCTTTTTTCATCACTGATAGTAGTTCCTTTGTGCTTTTACTTGCATTATGATTTGAACACAAATATCCTTAGAATAGTTTTCCTCTGAACTATTCTTTGATGACTTATTTCAGTAATACTGTGTCTTCCATTTTTACAGGATTCAAGAGAGCTCTTAGCCATTTTATTTTTGACAAATTCATTAAATTATGCTGAAAAAAGGCAGAACATTGATATTTGCAATTCATAGATTTTTAGAGAGATGTTACCTTGCAGATATAAAGGTAAGCAAAGTAAACTATGTTTATGGTCAAAGAGACGATAATTGTCAAAGTAGGAGGAGACCCCAAGTCTCATAATTTCCAATGTTGTGTCTTAAAGGCTATTTTATGTTAAATGTCCTTATTTCTGTAGTTCATCAGTAGACTAAAAATGAAAAGAAATAAATGTTTATTTTATTTCTTACCCTTTGCTATAGTTTCTTGATTTTTCTAAACTTGCTACCATGCCTAAAGGTTCCAACACAAATTCTCTATTCCTCTCTCTTTGTTAGCTCTTCTAAAAATTCTTACTTAATTCCTTACCTCAAGTCACCGCTAAAGAGACAAATGGATCTCAAATTTACATCTCCCACATTCTTATATCTCTAAGCCATTGAAATTTCCATCAGTTGAGCAAGCAGCACCAAAAATGTTAATATGCAAGAAAAAATACAAATTATAAAATTTAAAAAATAAAAGATAGAAATAATAAAAAAAATGTGAGTCTAAACATTAGTAAGAAAAGGCTTAATTCAGGGGGATTATAACATTAGGGAGGAAACTCTAATAAGAAGATGTGCAAGTGTTTTAAAGGGGCAGAAGTGACTTTCTTTTTATAAGAATGAGCAAGTAAGACTAGAAAAAGGTAGGTGTTGGAGAGTGGGAGGAGCAGGTAAAATCAGAGTTTGTGTTCCTGATTATCAGGAAGATCCATAAAGGATGAGTTGTTTCATGTTTCATGTTTCAGAGGTTCTTTAACCTGAGAAGCAAGTTAAACTTCAGAGGGAAGAGTAAATCCCAACTAAATTTTGGTTAAATCACACTACTGAGCATTTTTTCACATTAGTCTGTGAGATTAATTAGTTCATTTGTTAGGTAGAGAATAGGGATTTAAATATCTGTATCTGTCCTTGTCACATTTAATCAGGGGTATCCTTCCCTAGAGCTAGCTAAGTCATGTGTAGAAGGATGATTCTTTGTAGCAAGCTGCTTCCTGGTACACAAAATGGTAAATTTCTTAACATCACTATTTCTGGGAGTGCAGGGACACTGTGAAGTTCAATGCCGTCAGAACAAAAAACAGGTTTTTATTTAGCCTCATAGAATATTACTTTACTTCATGAAAATATTTTATCCTTCCAACTTTTTCATTCTCACCAATAATATAACCAAGTGTACTACATGTAGCTCTATGGACCAGAATCCACTAAGAGGATACTTGAAGTAACAGCACTTGATCAAATAACAGTCACACCAGTGGAAGGAAGATACCAAAACATGTGACACGAATTATTGGCCTTCCTCTTTGTCCACGTATTTCATGTCAATCATTGTTTTATCTAAAATAACCCTCAACTTTGGAGGGTTTTTGAAAAATCTTCAGAAGTTCAAAATACCCTTTCTACAGCTTTACATATTACTCTCTCATGTCCATTCCTACTGTCCTTTACTTGTTATCCCCTGGACCAACTCTGCTCTCCAAAATGCTATTTACCACTAACCCACTCTGTGTCCTCGACTGCTGCTCAGTGCTTTCTCTCTACTGTTTTTGGCATTATCAAAGACTCTGCCTCCTCTGTGGCTTCTCCAATGAAATTTGATTTTCTTCCCACCCAATGTCCTTGCAGGTTGCAAGTTTAAATCCATAATCCAGACTATTATTATATCAACTTTTTTTTCTGAAAACTTTCCTCCTTTGTGTTATTGTCAGTGAATAAACACTTAAGTGCAACCAGAAGATGTATAACTGTAATGCAGGGCATGAACTTAACCTTTTAACAGGTAGGGACATTGATAAGGAGAGGGAAAAAAAATCAGTTGAGAAAACACTGGAAAAGCAGCTTCTTTGGTTATTTGCCCTCAACAGCGTCACCACCAAACCTAATAGTATCCGTAACATTGTCAACTTTAAACATCTTATATGTGAATGATTCATGCTATACTAAATCAATCCCCTTGTTCTCTAAGTCTTTAGTTTTTGATATTTCTCTTAATTATTTTTTGAATAGGTAATCTGTTGACTCTGAAAGTATTCTTTGAGAATTCCTGTTCCTTCTCGTCTAAGTCACGACTTTCTTCCATTCTTAGTTAAAGTAACCATTTTAATGAGTGTCTTGGATCACTGTTTCATAAAATAAGCAAGAAGGAAAACAACAAATAACATTGATTTTAATTGTCTTCCCTTTCCTTTAGAGGAATTAACATAGTGTAGACACTATTTTTGACTTGCCCTTTTAACTTATTCATTTAACCTGGAAATCTTTTCAGAAAAAAATATACATAGAATCATTTTCTTTTTTTCAAATTATTAACTGTACATCATAGTTTATTTAACCAATTTCTTATTGTTGGAACCTCGTGGATTTTCTCTGTCTTTTGTATCTAAAACTTATAATTGCATAACCTTAGACATGTGTCATTCCTTACATTTGAGATTACAGACATAAACAGTATATATGATTATGTCTTCATATCTGCAAATAACTTCATTTGAATGGACTAACTGGGTAGTGACCATAGGCAGATGGGTAATGATTGGAGGACTTAAGTTACTGGGTATGAGCCCTTGAAGGGTTCTTCTTCCCTGTGGCCCTTTTCTCTTTTTGCTTTCCAACCTACTGCTGCCCTTCTACCTTGATGTTCTGCCTCAAGGGCCCAGAGCAATGGAGTTAGTTAGCTGACCACGGACTGAAACTCTGAAAGTGTGAACAAACAATGAATTTTTTTCTTCTAAGTTGTTCTTGTCAGGTGGGTACTTTGGTCAGAGAGATGAAAAGTTGACTAATACAATCTCTTTCCTAGAATTACACAGACTGCACTCCCCAAAAATTAACTCAAACTGGTTTCCTCTTCTCTTTCTCTGTTACATTGTTAAATTTTTATATTTTTCTGATATTATGAACATTAAATGACATTTAAAATGTAGATTTCATTTTCATGTCTTTTAAATGATGTTAAGCATGTTTCCAAATATTTAATGATCTTTTGTTAATTTTTCTGTGAATTATAAAACCATATGCCCTTGGACTTTTTTTACTAAGTTGTTGGTCTTCTTATAAATTCCTAGGAGATACTTCATCTTTTGTTCAACTTTTACATTTTGAATTTATCAACATTTTATTTTACAGATCCAAGATATTTTATTTTTCAATTTTTACTTTATAATTGACATTTTTGTCTGCATATTTATGGGAAAGAGTATGAGAATTTGACACATCTATGTAGCGTGAAATGATCAAATCAGAGTAATTAGCACTTCCATCTCTTTAAACATTGATCATTTCATGTCTAGGAAACTTCAGACTCTTTTAATTTACCTATTTCAAAATATATAATAAATTTTTATGAATTATATTTACCCTATGATTCTATTAAACACCAGAATTATTTCCTCCTATCCAACTGTATTTTGGTACCCATTATCCAATTTCTATTTAAGTTTTGAATAGTAAATAATCAGTGTTTTCCCTACTCTAAGCCTTCATAGGTATTTACCTATATGTTGTCTAGTGTTTTCACAAGTTGACATTTATGTTTCAACCTTTGCTATTTTGGGTAAAATAACTTACTACTCAATAATTTAATAGAATCTTATCAAAAGACTATTATTATCCTATTCACTGGAGCACCACTTTCATATAAAATTTTCATGTTTATTTCAGAGTTTTTCATAATTTTGTCTATTTTCTTGTAATGCTAAAGTTATAAAAGTTTAATAAGTGAGACTATTTGGTATGTTTTGGTATCTAAAATAACTGATGTTCCCTTACTGTTCTTAATTTTTAGGGGTTTTCCAGCCAGTGCTGATTAATTATTTTTCTACATAAACCTTAAAATCAACTAGAAAAATTTCAGAAGAAGAACAAAATAACTCTGTTGATACATTTATTAGATCTGTATTGCATTCACAAATTGACTTATGGATAATTGAAATCTTTTTGATGTTAAATCTACATATCTAAAACCATTGAAAGTAGTTTCATTTTCCAATGTCCTTTTGATTCCTACAGAATTTTACTTCTATAAATTGTATAGCTTTCTTGTTAAGTTTCTTCTTCAGTATTTTATTTTCTTTTTTAAATGGAAAATTCTCTTTCAATAATTATTTTTGTATATAAAGAATGTTGTTTTATATGAGTTACTTTTATGACTAGCCTAACCTACAATTCGAGTTTCTCTAGTATGCTTATTTTTTCTAATTATTATGACTAATATCACAAAAATATGTAAAGTAGGCATAGAGATAATGAAAAATTTTGTCTAGCCTTGGATTTAAAGCAATGTCCCCTGTTCTTCCCCACCTAGTAAATTGTTGAGTTTTAAGTCAAAATAAACTTTCTTTATGTAAAAAAAAATGGTTTTCTATTTTAATTTTGTGTAATCATTTTGAAAATCCAAAACAATGTTGAATTTTTTCCAATTTTGTCAAATGGATATAATCATATGGAATTTACTTTTTTATATAAAGTGGTGAATTTTGTAACTCTGCTTCTTTACATTGCATAGTATTAGTGTTTCTAAAATAAAGCCAGTGGGTTGATGTTTTGTTGTCTTCAAAATATTAGAGTTCTTGATCTTCTCCCTTAGTTCATAGATTTCTTCTTCAGCAACATTCATTCTGCAATTCAACTCATTTTTTTTAATCAACTATATTATTTTTCAGGTCCAAAAATTTCAGGCATTATGTTCAATGACATATGTTTCTTGATTATGGTTCCTATATTACCCACAATTTATCTTGTCTGGTCTTATAAATCTCCTTGTTCTGCTAATGATTGTCCATTATAATTTATTGTCTTTCTCATACAGTGGCTGTGCTAAAATCCCTTTTAATATTTTTTCTCATATCTCACTTTCTCTTGTAGCATTGGCCTTGTTATCCAGGTAAAGTGAATCTTTGCAGAGACACAAATGTCCTGTTATAGACTGCACAGTTTGGAGAACAGATGAGAGGTGTTTCTCAGGCTGAGGACTCAAGAACTTCATTCTCCATGGAGTAATCATTGTCTCTTGTAATTCAAGTAATTCACTTGCTACCTAAGCTGGATTGTTCTAAACTCATCCTGATTTTAATTCACTACTCTTTTCCAGTTCTGAGTGATATGTTTTTATTTATCTTATTTTGGGGAGCAATTGTGGCACTAAATTTAAAAATCAAGGATAGAAGGCCATGATGCACCTAAGTACATGCCTCCTGACCTCACTCACATATGCAAAGCTTTGCTCTTTTATACCATTGGATACTGCACTTTTAAAGTCACGATACTACCAATTCATATTTTATTTGTTGAACTTCATATTTTCACAGCTTTTATAATAGTTTAACAAACTCACGAGACTCCTCAGGCATTCTTCATTGTACAGTTCTGGGGGTTGTATAATGAAATATGCAGATAAATATTATTTTATCACACTTTGAGAAATTGGACATCTTAATGTCATTTTCTATTATGACTTTCTTTCTTTGGTCATTAGATTGACCAAAAATAGCTAAAGGTTATAAACTCATTGAGGCAATTCCTGGCTCTTGAGTTTAAGCATCAATACTATGTTTAACATACATTGGATAAAAGATACCCTTTTGAAAAAATGAACACTATAGATCCATATATAGAAAAATGGAACTGAAGCTTGTCCCTCAGTCTACACAAAAGTTAACTCAAACTGTATCAAAGTCCTAAGAATTAGACAAAAAACATTGAAGTCAATTGAATCAATGCTTCAACATAGAGATGCAGGAAATCCTACTGACTTCCTCAGTAGGGCTCTATAATAAAAATAATTAATAAGTGGAATGGCACAAAGTTAAAAGACCTCCACATAGCAAAACAAAGAATTAAGATCATGAAGAGAGAATCTACAGTGTTGGTAAAAATATTTGCTACCTAATGTTTCAATGAGTATGAATATACAAAATGTATAAAAAATGACTGGGGAACTGAATTAGAACAAGATATATTCTATGTTTTTATAATTATGTCAAAATGGATTCTACTTTCATGTATAAATAAAAAGAACCAAAAAAATTAATATGTAAAATCAAATAACCCAATCAATAAATGGGAAAATAAACCAGTTTACAAAAGAAAAATATAAATTGCCAGCAAGTATATGAAATAAGTTCAATATTCTTAGCAATTAGGAAAATAAAAAACAAAACTATACTGAGATTTTATCTTATTCCAATTAGAATTTCAGTCATCAAAAATACAAAAGTAATAATTGCAGGAGAGAATGTGTGGAAAAAGAAACCCTTTAACACTATTCGTTGGGTGGTCAACTAGTACAACTGCTATGGAAAGCAATATGAAATTTCCTCAAAAAGCTAAAGGATCCACCATATGACCTGACTATACCACTCCTTGGTATGTATCTTAAAGAGTGAAAGTCAGAATACTGTAGCAGTACATGCATACCCATGTTTTCAGAAGCATAACTCACAATAGCCTAATTATGGAACCAGGTAAGGTTGTCTATCAATGAAAGATTAGATAAAGAACATGTGATATGATATAGTATATGATCTATATTATACACACACATTGTGATTTTATTCATGCATAAAGAATGAAACTACATCATCTACTGGAAAATATACGGAACTTTAGAGCATTATGTTAAACAAAATAAACCAAACTCATAGTCAAGGATCGTATATTTTCTCTCCTATGTAGAAAATAGAGAAAACAGAAAACAAAAGGTGGAAAGGCATCATTAAATTAGAAGGGAGAACAGTAGAGTAGAGAGAGGGGATCAGGGGAGGATGGAGAGAAGGGAAAGGGAAGGTACAGGGGAATGAAATTGACCAAATTATATTGTTATATTGTGTTCGTGTATAAGTATGTACGAATTAATTCCACTATTGTGTATAATTACAATAGATAGATAAAAATAATTTAAAAACTACTTTTGAAGGAAAATAGTCTATCTTAATTTAATAAGTTTTGATAAGATGAATGAAGTTTGATAAACCACCAAGGGCAGAATTATTCAAATCCCAAAGACCTGCCTACATACAGTAAGAGCCTTTACTAAACTTAGCTGGCTTCCAAAGAGATGGCCCAATGACTATCTTCCCCAGAAACTTATGGGGAAAGTATATATTAGTTTATATTGCTGATGTTGCATCTGCTAAAATGTCTTTTTCCTCCTTGAATAAAAGAGGAAGGATTCTGTTTCCGTTGGTGACTCACGGCCATTTAGAAAATCACCATCCACTTCTGCTTTTTAGTTGTTCCTCAAAATGTTGAGAATCTGTCATACTAAAGAATAGTACTTGACTAGATAGAGACTGCCTACTTTTTTCCCATACCATCAATGAAGGATAATTAACTTACTTGTATAGTATATGTTATAAATCTATCTCAGTGTATAGGTTAATTCATGTAATGATGAACTATCTATTTCTAGTTCCACTCCTAAAATTAGGAATTGAATTTATAATTAGACCAATGGACAACTTTGTGGGAATCTGTCTTTCTCTTTTAGCTGGGTTTTGACAGCTGGTGTTATCAACAGACTCTAACTGTAGTCATATCCTAGATCATGCTGGTTCTGCTCATTCAAGTTAGATTGTAAGTATCCTGTGCCAGGGATCTTTCTGCACACTGGTGGTAGGATATAAGATGGCATCCTCTTCCTCCAAATCAAAGTAGAACTCTCCAGACACAGCTTCTGTCCAAGAGCTTCATTCCAGTCGTTAAAAGTCCCTCGCTTGTCCAGTAACAATATCCAGTTCAAACAGGGAAAGGAGGAGAATAAAAACCCACCAGTAGTAATTCAGATGAGTTTGAGACTTTACTGGGACCTGAAGAAGCTGTCCCTTCTGGTTCCATGTGCTCTTGTTGTGCTTTCCTTTAATGGTTGTTATTCTTGGTTGTACACTGTAATCACCAGGGGAACTTTGAAAACTATGGTTCTTTTTCATACTGTAGCCCATGGCCCTTGCCTGCACCTTTGTAAGACTCTGACTGAATGGGTCTGGAATGTGGCCTGAGCATTGAAATTTTAAGAAGACCCCAGATGATTCAAACATATGTTACAGAATGACTATTGCCTCATTTTTTTTACAATGATTTTTCTTACAATCTAGTAAGACCAGATGTGAGCTCTTTCCCAGGGACCAGGACCACCATCATAATTAGTTGCACACAGTGAAAAATGAAAATATAAAGCCAAAGGACTAAAAAACTTAAAAATTGTTAAGAATTTCAAGACTCTGACAGAAGAATATTAAGCCAAGCATGCATTCATGTCTTGCAAACATGGGCTGTATGCACAAGTCTCATACCCAGTAAGCTAGACCCATCTGAGAGCCAGTGTTAATAGTCAAGGATTTGCCCTGTTACAGGTCACTTTTCTCTTCCATAATTTCCTGTCTCCCCATTTGGTATGCTTATTCTTCTTGCTAATTATTATGATTGCATTTTCTATCCCCCCTACCCTGCTTTGGTGAGTAAAGGTAGTATTAAGAGCAACTTGAGTTATGGTAGAATCTTCTCTCTCTTTTCTTGACTATCTTTTTTTTTTTTTAAAGTGACCTTGTCCTATTTATTTGGTTATTGCTGAGAAAATTTTTATGATGATGTCGGAAAAGTATATTTTAGATTTTATTTCAATAGGTTTTGGAGAAAAGCAATTCTTGTATATGGCTTGACTATAACATTTCTACTCAGAAGACATTTCACAATTCTCATTTTCACTATTTTTATATTTCTTATATTTAAGTAATGAAATAAATTTGAAATGAAAATTAGAACCAGAACAAAGAGAGTCAGGACGGATCCTACAGCCAGTATTGTACAAGAAATGTGATTCTTAAAACAAACCGCACTTTTTGGGCTAAAGAAAAATGTAACTTAATATTTAACTAATGAACACTTAAAAATATATGTATCTAGTCCGACTTGACTTTCTGGATTTATTTCTTTCTGCCATTCATGCCTTTTAATTATAGCTCCTTCTTCTACCAGAAATTCTAAAAACTATAAAAAAGATACTCCACGATATTTGTTTCTGGAAATAGATTCAAGAATCATAGAAACATAATCCATAATAATCGTCACATACTTCAAGATGAAAGCACACTTGACACTTGGTCCAGGATTGCAACTGTATTTCAGGACCCAGCATTCCCTTTCCCTCAGGAAAGATGGAGCTGTCAGCAGGGCTGGCAGGCCCCTGCATCTCACACTCAGCTGACCTTGTGGTGTGCAGTGGATTTACAACACAGTGAGTGAGGAAGGAGCCAACATCACTATGATATAGTGCATGTCAAATAAAGTGGGAGAAATGCTGCTCAGTCAGGATCTCAGGGAGACTTTAATCCTCACTAGACCAGAGCTGAAGTTTATGACAAGCAGATGTGAAATCCCCACTGGGAATTCAGCTGCCAAGGGCTCAATAAAAACAAACTGAAAAGGAAAATGAAGCCCACTGATATGAAATGTAATAGGGATCCTAACGGGTTAATGTGATTCTTGTTGTTCTAGAACAATTCCATTATTGGTATAATTTGCTGTAATACTTCCTTCCTCTTTTTTGACATCTTCTTCCAATGATCTAAAGTGAAGTTCAAGTGAAAATCCTTGAGGGAAATTTTCCCTAATGATATTAACATCATTTTTTCTTTTTTCTTTTTTTTCCCCACTTATTATTAATTCACAATTTATGTATATTTAAATATATGCACACACACTATATTCTTTCTGTCAATAAGTCGTTTATGTTTTCGAATATCAATAAAAAATACACACAGATGGCTTACTACATGCAAATTTTGTCATACCACCTAGAGTGCTCCAATAAGTAGTGCCATTGGGAAAGCCATTCAGTCATTTTGATCCCAACAATTCTGAATACAGTATTGTGACTCTACCACACAAGTCTGTAAAGTTGAGTATTGTTTAAAATATTGAAAGGTGGAGAAATTTGATGATTCTGTATGAGGAGTTACTTTAAGTAACTATGATCTTTGTAAACTTGGAATACATTTTTTGGAGCTAGTATTTTTAAACTGGATTTGGAGGTCTGTTGCACTATTTCAGAAGAGTAAAAAGTAGCAGGAAAGAAGGATATATAAATTAGGAAC